GGTTGGTGTGGAGAGGGCTGCTGCAACTTGAAGAAATAAATGAACATTCTATCCATCACTATTTAGTTTCCCATAATGGTGGTAATCTCTTTTTGGATGTATGCATATTTTGTATTTATTTGGAGGGTAAATTGTACGAGAAAGTAACGTATTTTGGTCTGATTCTTATTTTATGTAATGTAATTTGGTATATGGAGGGAGGTTCAAACGAGAACGGTAACTAAATAAGAGATCACGAAAACGACCAAATCACGTGCAAAATCACATCTGATTTTACACTAACGGTCATTGCATGGGTGTGCGGACGAGGTCGTGGCCAAAAATGTGTGAATCGCATGTGAATTTGCACATGATTTTTGTGTAAAAATTCTCATGTGATTCAATCGTTTTTTTTATTCTATTATTTGGTTATTGTTCTCGTATGAACCTGACTCTTTGGTCGAAGGTATCAAAATGAAGGTTTTGAAAGTATGATATGTAAAATAAGAATCAGATCAAAGTACGTTGCATTTTCCATACAATTTGATGATGCCAGTTTAAATTATCTGCAACTAAACGAATCAACAAGCCCTAGGTTTTAGGTGTTGCGATAGGTCTTCCGTAAGCAATATTTAGGATACTACGACAAAATGGGTCTTTTAGGGTGCATCATAATAGAGTAATCTATGGACTTTTAAGTATATGATGTATAGGGGATATTTGGGATTGCTTATTTTGGAACAACTTACTTTTCTGTAAAAGCACTTATCAACTTATTATAAGTTAGAATGGTTTAACTTATTAAAAAACTTCGTATTGCCGGTTTGGCACCGGTATAAGCTGTTTATCCAAACACTCAAAAGTGCTTATTACCGGTGTCACACCGGAATAAGTCAATAAGTTGTTTTTATAAGCAATCCTAAACACCCCCATAGTACAAAAAACCAACATCATATCTAAAGACGTCATATTAAGTTGTTAGAATGAAGTTTAGACTTCCGAACAAGTTTTTTTTAGAAAAGTTGTGCAATATAATACGATAGATAAAAGTAACATGATCCATCTAGAATGCATGAGAATCCACTAGAAGAGAAAATGGAGTTATATTCATCAATGAATCCACTAGAAGAAGAAGAAGAAAACAATAAAATAGAGTTATATTCATTAATGAATAGAAGCAATAATGCTTTGAAAAGGAATGATGGAAAGGGTAGTGATGGCATTTAAGATCATGGGATGTTGTTGCCATAAAAAGCATTCAACATATATAGGGTTGCATCTCAAGGGCAGAAAAGTCAATTTACATTGGCTAATGGTCCCATATGATGACTTATGTGATACTTGATGTGAACAAATGGAAGCTAGAGGATATGTATGTATTTGTGTATTGAATTTTCTTCACACAAAAATGATTGAAGTAATGAATAGAAGTTGAGAATTGAGGTGTTGGTGAACAAAAATATTAAATGCATTTAATTTGAAAAATATAAAATACAGATAATTAGGATTTCGACAACATCTTATTCATAACTTAGGAGTTGTTTGCTTATCTGTTAATAGTTCCATTAAGAGGCAGCATCTGAATTGTTAAGAGGTGAATCATGTTTGGCAAAAAACAGTTTGTCTCTAAATGGTTCTAAAACCCTCTGAATGATTTTATATCTTGGGTCTGCCTTAACCATTCAACTCCCTAATTTCATTGTAAACAATTACCAATCAATTATATTTCATTTTGCACTATATCATGAGAGCCTCTTAATCATTCTGACCACTTAATCATTCTGCATAAAACCATTCAGCAACTGTTAAACAGCTTAAACGGAAATTTATCTGTAAGTGAGTTTAAGCCAAAACAACTGACAAGATAGGTTTAACACTTTTAGAAATAGGCTACTCGGTTTCTTGGGTTTGATTAGACCAACAAACCGACTACAAAATGATTGGTATGTGAGTGAGGAGATATGAATAGCAACTCGTAAGCAAATTATACAACTGGCATGATGAAAAATCTTTCTCAAAACGAACCACTTCGGTTGTAGCTCACTGGTTAAGCCTCAAGGGGATGCACTGGAAAATTTCATTTACCCCAGATGCAAATCCAAGTAGTTTTTGTGGCCATGGAGATTCACCTGTAATGACTTCAGGCTATTCATGGTCACCCAGGGGAATGGATTATTCGATGCATGAAAGTTGTCCCGAAAACCTACGATTACCAAAAAAAATGCAACAAAATATGTTTTGGTTTCCATTTAGTATAATATTTTTTTTGTATCTCAATCAATGTAAAAACGTTCAATTTTTCTTATTCAGTAGATATTTTGATCTGTAGCCGATTAATCTTCTAACTATTTATGACATAGATATAAAGCTATATGGTAATTTTTTTCATTATGTGACAAAATGTCTTATCAAAATGAAAATCAATTGATGTGACATAGACTAAAAACTGATTGAATATGTAAATAAATTTAAAGAAAATTAAACATTTGTTATCCTGATTGTAAAAAATTAACGTTAACTAGATAGGGTCAAAGTCAAACTTCTTTATGTTTTGATACATTTTCCCTTTGATAGAGAATGATATGTGTCAGAGATTGTTAGTTTACCTCTTGATAGTTTCATTAAGAGACAGTCTCTTAATCGTTAAGAGGTGAATCTTGTTTGACAAAAAAAAAATGTCTCCTAATGGTTCTAAAAACCTTCTGAATGATTTTGTATCATGGGCCTCCCTTAACCATTCAGCACCCTAATTCCATTTTAAACAATTACCGAACAATTATATTTCATTTTGCACTATATCATGAGAGCCTCTTAATCATTGTACACCAAACAATTCACCTATTGGCAAAGAGCCTTGAAATAACCATTAAACTATATGCCAATGCCTATTAACAATTTTAATATATGGTTTGGTTCGGTTAAAATGGTCGGTTTCTCGATACAAACTGAACCGAAAGACTCGGTTTCAAAAAATTTAAACCTACAAACTAAATAGAAACCGGCCAAACCAGCCAAATTTCGGTTTAAGCCAAACCATGCACGAGTTATCCAACAAGTCGACGTATAAATCAACACAATTTTATACGTTTTGACTTGTGTTCTCCACAATACTACTTGCACCTTCCGTCTCTAATTCGACCGTAGGTTCACGGTCGTTTGATTTCACAATTTTAACCTTTGAAACACGAAAAATAGCCAAATTGGTGTCACCTACAACGACAATTAAACAAGATTACAACGTTTACCGGTAATTAAATATCTAAATATTCTTGATAGAAAGAAAAAAAGTAAGGGTCGTTTACCAAATACTTACCGGTAAAATTCAACACTATTACTTACTTACAGGGTAAGATTTTGGTCCATCAAAACGGCATTGTATGTAATAATTTACACAGTAAGTGTTAACCGTGGTAAGAGTCATCGTCCTCACTTACTGAATGAGACTCTTGGTCCTTGTGTCGCTCTTACTGAGTAAGTGGTCCTCACTTACCGAGTAAGACTCTTGGTCCTTGTCTCACTCTTACTGGGTAAGATTCTTGGTCCTCACTTACTAAGTAAAACTCTTGGTCCTTGTTTCGCTCTTACTGGGTAAAATTCTTAGTCCTTACCATATTCATCCCAAAAGGTAATGTGATTTGGTAAGCGCTTACCCGGGTGAACATTTGATAAACGGCCCCCAAAAAACTTGTGGGCCATTGCATTTTTATCGGTATGTTACGAATGATATGAACGCATATTTTACCTCTATCCCGTTGTTTTCAAAACGACTCCCGACTCGTAAAAAAGTATTTAAAAATTGGTAATTATGGATCAAACTGTTTTCATGAAGTCAAAAATTACTCTCTTTTTCAAATGAGCCAAGAGAACAATATATGGAAGTAGTAGTAGATAAAGGAATGAAGATCGGACCGAATGTAACGTATCTCCCGGGAGGAATAACGGAAGGCACACCAGGCGTAAGCCGTTTTTCGTCAATAAATGTACCATTCGTGCTGCCCAAATCCGTCACCAAAAGATCACCGCCTTTCTTCTGCAATCGGGCGTGCGTACCGGATACTACGTAACAACACAAAACGGACTTTTTAATTGATGGTTTTTTCCAAAAAAAGGCTCAACGAGCAAAAATCCCGCTTGAAGCAAGTTGAATTTTTTTTTTGCCACGATCTAAGAGCATCTCCAACAGCTTCTCTAAAATAAAGAAAATCAACTTTTTGTTTTCTGCTCCAATAGTTTTCTCCGTGAGTCGGTAATTAAAGGGTCGTTGGAGGTTAAGGGTTCAAGTCTCACTGGATGTTAGAAGTGTGTGTGAGTTTTGCTGTGTATAAATATTATTATAGAGGTGAGTTATTATGCAACCCTTTTACATTTGTACAACCAATACAACTCAATCTCAACCGTCCATTTAATTTGATGAACATGTGATTTAATTAAAGTTTTGATTGTTTCCTTATATAAAGTATTGATCATAATTAATGAACTCTAGTCGTCTTCCATAAATATTCAAATCATAATAAATGAACTCTCATCATTTCCATAAATATCTAAATTGATTGGGTTTGCATTGGCTGTATAAATGGACATGGTTGCATTTGAAATATACCCTATTATTATATACTTGAAAAAAAGATTCGGTAATTTGCAATACCTGTTGCAACCGGGATTACTATATCGGCTTTCTCAGGAACACGTCCAATGGTCACCTCGCTCTAGCTCACCCCCGGAAACTTTGCAGTTATTTTCAGATCATAACGAAAACAACAAAAGATACGAGCCTAAAGAAGCTACTTACGGATGCTATCTCAAATGCGGATGGCATAGCAACCTTAAAACCGATATGTCTTGAATCTCCATCACCTGCACATATATCATATACGATATTGCAAGATTGCTACTTTCTTGACGTCAGTTAAAAAACCAAACAAATTCAGTATATCCCACTCGAACGTAGATAAGATGCATGCAGACCTTACCTCTGTCCGACGAGACACAGAGGCTTTAAATTTGTTAAGATATATAAGTGTTTTGATTGTTTAAATATATTTGTATGTATATATAGGGGCGGTTCACGTGAGAACCAAAAAAACTTGAGAACCATGAGAACCTTAATATTCATTGATGCATGTACAGTAACGAATTTCAATGAGCATATGCATCAATGTATGTCAGTATATACACTTGCAGATATGCATCGATGAATATACTCATTAACAGAACACATATTTTGATAAATGTATATGTATCAATGAATATAAAGGTCTTAAATAAACAACCTAACTCAATCGCGACAGTTCTAGAAAATCCCTTTGTAGCCATGGAGGTTCAAATGCGGTGACTCCGGACTACCCGAAAAGCAGGTGATCAACCTGGGATTAATCGGTTCGCATAGCGGGTTGGATATCCAGGTTAATCAATATAAATAAATAAATAAATATTACTAAAAATTTATCCGACCTAACCAAAATGTTATAATCATCCAAATATACTTATCACGATCAAAATTCAAACGTTTAAACTAAATAGAATACATTCAAATCATCAATAAACGATGACCACAATTACAGTTTTAAGGATGTATAATAATTATTATTTTTAATTATATAAAAGACAATTTTACCCTTAGTAACAGGGTGAGAATTTTTCTACCTCATGTTTAAGGATAAAAATGGAAAATAGACGCATGTTTTTGAAAGTAAATATTTATTTTGAGATGGATAATGGCGGGGCCCATGATACATTTTAAGCGGATGCGCCTTTAAACTGGATCAAGAGTCCACATAACTATTTGACATGAGGAAAGTCAACACGATTTGACCCGGGAAAAAGTCAATTGTGTCGATTTGGGGAATAAAATACATTCTTTCAAATGGAATCCACTTTGACCTTTGAAAATAGATATATCTTGCCTTGAAAACGAGATAAAAAACGACTTTTAAGATTTTTCTTTTAACCTGGATATTCAACCCGCTATGCGAGACGACTAATCCTAGGGCGACCACCTGCTTAAAGCAGATAGCGCGAAGTCACCGCATTTGAACCTCCGTGGCCACAAAAAGATTTTTATTCCTCCTTGGATTTGAACCTGGACCTCCTGGTAATTTTGACCTTTGAAGTCAAACTCAAACCAATTAGGCACTACCCTTGTGGTTTTTTAAGATTAATTTGCAATGAAAAGAAAAATAAATCATTAAAACGACAATGAAGTCAAAATGGGAGAAAGATAAACAAGAAGCACTCTTGGTGTAGTGGTAAGTTATGCCTATAATTATACTTAATAGTTCCATTAAGACGCAGCCTCTGAATCGTTAAGAGGTGAATCTTGTTTGATAAAAAAAAATCTGCATCTTAATGGTACCCATGTTTAATATCTGTTATGAATTTGGTTTCAAAATATTTGACATTACTCTTCAAAATAGGTCCGCCCCTAGGACGGAGGCGGTATATATATCGGGTTGAGTTGTCTATTGGGTTGTAAACGAGCCGAGTCGAGTCGAACAGTAGGTTATTCGAGTTTGGCTCAAAAAAATTATACAAGGCTCGAGATCGAATAACTTTTTCAAAGTAGGGCTCAAGCTCGAGCTCGAATTTTTCTTTTTGAGTTATTGAGCTCGATGCTCGTTTATGGGCTCGATCTCGTGATCTATTAACTCCTTTATTTTATTGGCCCAAGATTGAAATTTTTTATATTTTTAATGTATTATTTATGAATATACTAGAAGGGTACTCGTGCAATACATCGAGATACATCTTGATTTCAGTGTTTCGTTTAATTATAATTTAATTTAGGTTTGGTAACAAAGAAATTTAATTTAGGTTTAATAACATAATTTTTTATAAAGATAATAACTAAGTATTCTATTAGAACTCATTGATTATCCTAATTATATTTTAGATTTTTTATATTTAAAATAAGATATTTATTCAATATTTGATTATATTTATCTGTAGTTAGTTACACGAATTCAAATATGGAGTTTTAATAAGTTGTACTTATGCACAATTTCCTTATAATCTTAAATTTTAAGTAATATGCATCAATAAACAGTACTTCGTGCATAAAATTTGGTTTTGAAGATTTTTTGTCAAATGTTTTATAATATAGTAAAGATAAGCATATTTGGCTAGAAAAATTATATGCTCGAATCATCGAATGGCTCGGCTCAGACTTCAAAAATATAATCGAGTTTTCAAACAAGCCGAGTCGAACATTGGTTTTATGAAGCTTGAATCGTTAACTTAAATGGGTTCTATTTTGTATTTGAGATCCACTCAAGCTTGAGAATAATTAAGCTCGAGCTCAAGTTCGAGTCAACTCGTTTACACCCTGGTTGTCGGGTTGAGTTGTGCTTAACCCAATTTTAACCCTTAAACCTACCATTTTGATGAAATCAATACAAAAAATCTTCAATGAAAGAAGCATAGATTAGCAAATGAAGAACAACAATTACTGACCTACAGGCTCAAGAAGCCATCGAATTCCATCATCAGTTGCAGTGATTTGATCAGTCGCCATGGAAGCCCTAATCGAAGCTCCAAATCGCTTGTGTGAAATCGATCTAAGTTCATCATTAACACAGAATTGTAGCTTCGCAGAGGGTTGAAAAGGGGGGAAATTAGGTCTAAGATGGAAGAATGATTGGGGAAATTGGGAACTTATTAAAGGGTTTTTCAAATTGAGACATGAAACAGAGTGAGATGTGATTAGGGTTTCCATTTTTTTTTTCCAGAAATCTCGATCCAATTTGGTGAAGAAATCAGTGGAATGGAAGAAGCATGCGATTGAAATCTGTTGGAAACGAAGTGTGTATGTGTGGCATAGAATTTATTGGTGTGATGACATGGATTTAGATACCAGTGACAAAATCATTATGAACCATTAGATGATTAGATCAAGATTTCATTCTATCTTTGAATAAATTAAATAGAAAAAAAAAACCTACTTTAATTTGATTCGGGTAACGTACTCTCAAAACTTTCATTTTGATATTTAAGATATAAAGTTTTCACATTTGATATCTAACTCAGTATTATTTGTTATTCAACTCAATTTCATCTCATCACTTGTCATATCAGCATGATGACCGATTAATACTTCTACATGTTACACAGGTACTTAAATGTTTAAAACTTTATATCTTAAATACAAAATGAAAGTTTTGAAAGTACGTTACCCAAAATAAGAATCAAGTTAAATTATGTTACTTTTTCATGTAATTTACCTTTATTTTATATAAGAAAATTTTGGATTATTTTAATTATTCTTCATATGGTAGAACTAGAAATAATTAAATAAAACCCAACAAAATTGTATTAAAATCACGATCAACTTATGGATTGAGATACATTTCCCAAATGGCAAATAATCGAATGACAGTTGTAAATAAAAAAAATAAGTAAATTACGAAAATTATTATTTTAGTCCCTGTATTTTTTTAAATTACAATTTTTGTCCCTATAGTTTATATTTATTGTTGTTTTCATTCATTTAATTTAAAATTATTTATACTTTTGTCTATGTTGTTCATAAGTTATTGTTGTTTTCGTCCCTAATAATTAAAAGACAAGAGTTAAGGGCGGTTTACTCAAACATTTATCCCGTAAGTGCTTATAGATAAAAATCAACACTCTCACTTACCTTTACCAGATAGGTTTTAATCCATTAAAATATCATATGCAATAATTTACCCGGTAAGTGTTAATCTCAGTTAAGAGTTGTCACCCTCACAAGATAAGACTCTCGACCCTCGTCATCTTTTTTACCATTTAAATTTATTGGTCCTTATCATGTTCATCCGATAAGGTAAAAGAGACGCAATAAACGGTCCCTTAATCTCATGAACAAAAATAACAATAAATTGCAAAGCATAGGAACAAAAATCGTAATTTCAAAACCACATGGGCGAAAATCTCCGGTCCTAAATAACCACTAGAAACGAACAATGTAATTTACTGATATCGGGAGAAAAACAATTACTTTGTTGACCATCAAAAGACCGCCACATGGCAATGAGAAATTCGAAAAAAGAAAAAATCCGGACCGGTCTTTATTACCGGTCCAGTACCAGAAACCTACAATTAGGCATGGTAACGGGACGGGGATGAGACGGGGACCCCTATCCCCATTCCCGTCTCCGATCCCCCATCTTTGTCCTTGTCCTCGTCCCCGAGACTCGGTTTGACGGGGAATCCCCGTCCCCGACCGGAACGGGTGGGGCGGGTTCCCTAACGGGTCGGGGTCAATTCCCATGCCTACCTGCAATTGGTAGGTCGAGCCTTAATTGGCTGAACCAGACCAGTAGATTTAACCGATCCTCTTTGCCGATTTCTATACTAACAAAAAGAAATAGATACATCAAACATATATAACTGCAAATGCTAAAAACAAAACCTTTCTTGGCTTTAAAACTATCTGGTATGCTTGTCAACATCTACAACTTGTGTATACGAACTCTACTTCATAAAAAAAAAACAAGAAAACTGCACAAATACCCCGCCCCGACGTTCGTATTTCAAGACAAAAACTTCAAAATTCTCGACCTCATCTCAATGTACACCTATCGGCTATCGGAATTGGGAGTTCCGTTTATTCTATACACACTTGGGATTGGTTGCTTTGCAAATGGCTTAAACCATCTGCAGCAACTTCAGGCACCCACTCGAGTTGGCGGCAATCACCATGTCCGATTTCTGCCGCCAGCACACACTCGAAACAAACTGATTGTTTCCATTGTCGGTCTCTTTGCCGGAAACAGGATCAATAGATCCAAACTTATGGGACGTGATCGGCATCGAGAAGGATCTGTAATAAGCAAACACCTGCACGTAATATGTTTTATATTTAAGTTGTATTAGGATTTTGATTGTGAGAATATAGAACCCTATCGGATTACTCTCCAAAAAAACCCTTAAAGAAGGGAGGTTCAACATAATGGTCTAAGTTTAGCAGATGTCAGTCTCCAAAGGAGACTAGATGGCCACAGATTGTCCCAAAGTGTCGTGTTCGTAGATTGGTAGACCTTGGCTCTGATATCATTTGAGAATATGTAGAACTCAATTTGATTACCCTCCAAAAAAGCTTTCAATGAGAGGGGAGGTTCCTACATATGTGAACGAGAAATGGTCCAAGTCTAGCAGATGTGGGCCTCTAACACGCCACCTCTAACGGTGGCTAAATGGGCCCAGATTGTCGCAAAGTGTCAAGTCCCTAGGGTGGTAGACATTTGCTCTTATACCATGAAAGAACATGTGGAACCCCATCAGCTTACTCTCCGAATGATCCCCTTAGGGTGCGTTTGGTATATTGGACCGGACAAAACTGACCAAAACATAAATCACCTTTCCACATTTGGCAGGAGTTTTATGTGGAACAGAGTGGAACACCCCATCCATGGAACAACGTGGAACAGACCTGTATTTTACCAATAAAACCTAATTCTCTTCTAAAACATCAAATACGCCTCCCTGTTTATATTTTATTCATTCTTTAAATTTTATTAATTGTATTTTATGCCCTTTAAGCTTTCACTTTATTGTTCTCAAAATATTACTTTTCATATGGTTTCTATATTTTGGTTAATTTATGCAATTCATTAAATATTAATAATAATAAAATAATATATAAAAGGTATAAAATAAAAATCGTAAACTACATTAGCCTTTTATTTTGGTGTCATTTTAATAGTTTTAACGAAAGCTTTCTAATGATAGATGTTATAAAAAAAATATGTATTTTATTATAATTTAATAAATTGCATAAATTAATCAAAATATATAAACAACCCATTAGGGGTAAATTGGTCATTTTATCTATTTTGTCTTGTCCAAGAATTTCTTGGGAATCCTACAAGATCCGTTCCGTTGCCTTACCACTTGGCTACGCCCCATTTATATTTTTATTGGACACTAATAATTCTATCTACCAAACGCTGATCAGTTGTTCTATCCTATCCTGTCATATCCTATCATGTCTGGATACCAAACGCATCCTTAAGTAGAGAGAGGAAGTTCCAACATATACGAAGAATAAATGGTCCAAGTTTGGCAGACGTGGAACTCCAATATTAATATTTCATCTACACCAAATAATTGTTATACGTTCATCATGTTTACGCTTCAATAACAAGCATATAAAGACTAAATTAAAAAAGCATACCTCATTCGTTTCTGAACCGCACGCAATATATCCATCCGCAACAGATAAACCGACAAAATTCTGTAAACGTGCAAATTCCATAAAAGAATATATTAAAATATGACGGTTTCACCACAAATGTGACTCTTCATGATTTTTTCAAATAACCTGTCTACAAAAATCTTCCATTTCATCATTTTCTAAAAAATTCGTTCAGATTTCAACTTCATGTTGCATATGGAGCTCGATTTTATCTTCTTCTGTGTTAATTCCTATTTGCGCATTGTCACTATTACCGTTAATTGATGCTATCGGTTTTACTCCACAAGATTCCCCTATTCTACCATTATTGGAGGATTTTAGACATTTTACTGATAGTCAAACCAAAGTTGCAATTTTTATACTCCCTTTGTCCCAAAATAAATGAAAAAGATACAGATTTAGAAATGTGTAATTATTACAATTTTTAACTCACCAAATGACAATTGTACCCTTAACAACAGAGAGAATAATGAAATTTTCCATCTCATAATTAAGGGTAGAATTTGAAAGTTGGCATTTATTTCTGAAAATGGACACTTACTTTGGGACAAATTAAAAATTAGAAATCTGGATGCTTAATTTGGGTCGGAAGAGTAATACAAAACTTTCCTAAGAAACAGAGAAAATAATTTTTTAGCTAGGCCCAAAATCATATAAAAACCTCCTATATGTTAGAAATTCTATGAACCAATATTGACCACACATTTTTAACTTCCATAATTATCTTATTAATTATATTAATTACCTTATCAATCTTTTCCTTAAAAACTCACATTTTTTTAACAACCGCAACTTTGTTTCACCAATGAAACAACACATGGGTTGATGTGTGTTGATAATACAGTGTTGTTTACCAACAAACAACACATGGTTGATCTGTTTTGATAATACAATGTTGTTTCACCAACAAAATAACATATGGGGATAGATCTCTTTTGAGCATTTCACCAATGAAACATTACATCGATCGGGTGATTTCAAATGGAAAAAAGTGAGTTTTTTTAGGAAATGCTTGATAAGATAATTGACGAAGGATCGTGTGAGAAAAGGAGGTGGGAGGCGTAAGAAATGATCTGGACCCTTGATCCCTTCTAATCTCACCCACATCCCATGAATTGCGCTTCTCACAGGAATTGATCCGATGCATCTCGGTGCACACGGTCCGTGTTCATCTTCAACTAGGATTAACCCAAGGGTGTAGATCCCTTCTCCCCCTTCTCACCAGAACTTCCACTCTCACTAGAACCCAACTTAAGATAATTAATAATATAATTATGGAAGTTAAAAATGTGTGGTCAATATTGGTTCATTTCTAACATATAGACGGTTTTTATTTGATTTTCCCCCTAATTAACTAAATTACAATTGTACCTTTAATAATAGAGGGAGTAACCAATTTCCCCATCTCATAATCAAGGGTAAAACTAGAAAGGAAACACTTGCTTTTGAAAGTCGACACTTATTCTAGGACAAACTAAAATAGAAACATGGACACTTATTTTGGGACAGAAGGAGTAATTAATACACAACTTTCTCGAAAACCAAAAAAAATAAGTGTCGAGAACTAAGTTGAAAAAACGGACCTTCTCGTTTGTATGTCCTCTGAAAGTTAAGATGCAACCATTGGTCGATGAGCAACCAACACTGGTTTTCTTGAGATCCCATAGCTTTAGTGTGTTATCAGTGGATGCGGAAACAATGGTTTCGGAATCAATAAACTTCACATAGCTAACGGCTCTATCATGGCCCGCCAATATGCACAATGGGGCAGAAACGTTCCTAAGATCGTAACAGTAGGTCCGGTAATCGGCAGAGCCAAAAGACAGCAAATGAGCAGAGTAAGGAGAGAATTGGACACAACAAACATTTGCAATGTTTCTGATCGTTGATGTACTGTTCTTCTGCACGAAATAAAACTTTATTAAATGATTAAATATTGCATTTGAACAATTGATGATCACTTAACGGAACGCAAGAAATTTAATATAGTAATAAACTAGTTTATTAAATAGTGAAATCGGAAAGACTAAGGTTGGCAAACTAGTCATGTTTGGTAAAGACCATCTGATAAGCTAGATGACAATTTAAAAGGACCTAAATGGGCATGTTGAAAGACTAATTGAAAAATTACAAGGGGAATAATTGGAAGAAAAAACCCGGAGCTTATTGAAATGCTACTTCAAGTAGCATTTTAAAAAGCTAGCTAGCCAACCAAAACGAGGTTTTTTCAATAAGCTCCAAAGCTAAGTTAGGGTTTGTTTGTTAGCAGCTTATTGAGCTTAATGGGACTCGCAACTTATTCAGTCAGCTATAAATGACCGGTAGTGGCTTAATGATATGGAAAGTGACTTATTCAGTAAGCTTCTAGGGGGAGCTTTATGCAAGAAGCCAATTTTTTTTTCAAACCTGTCTCTCCCAATTAAAGAAAACGCTCTTCACTCCCTGAGAAAACCCTCCCAAACAAAAATCTTCCTAATCCATTAAGAAAGATTAATCCACACAGACAACTTTATCCATTCAGGACTTGATGAAAAACCAACCAAACAACTTGGCTTAAGGAGAGAGGGAGCTTGCCTCATTAATACTCCAAAGTTTCACGCAACAATCATCACTTCCACTTGCTAATTTTGTAGGATCCACTCGAGAAAAATCAACCGACCATGCCCTCCTTTCATGCTCAATATGATGAGAAACTGCTTGGCCCGTTCCTGCATCCCATATCTGGAATCATCCACAAGATTAGGCCAGAAGCATAAATAAGTAATTGGTGAAGAAATTTTTTCAAGAAAAGTAAAAGTAAGCAGATCATGATACTTTGATAGCGGGACTTCACAACAAGCACTAAAATATAAAATGAAGATGGCAAGTAGCAAACAAAACTATATCAATCTTATCTATAGATAATACCAGGGGCGGATCTACTTGTAACTCCGTTGTAGTGTTAAAAAAAGTTTAAAGACCCTTAAATGTGTTACCATTCTGACTTGTTTTGTATTACCACCGGGCATTGTTGCGGGAAATTTGAGAGGCTACAGTAGTGATATTTTAGAACCCTTTTCTAAAGTTATGATATTTTTGATAACCGTGGGTGTCCAGCCCACCAATCGCACACCTCCACTAATCTCATGGGACCCTGAAGATAACAGCGAGGAAAATCCACAATAGTCCTAAAGTGATGACTTATGGGGAGACGTCCTAAGGCCTAGACTTTATTTGGCGGTTGAGTCGGCCCTCAAGGTATTCCTAAAGTTACGATGACAAAAGGTCTAAAGGGTAAACTACTATGTGCTCCAAAGGTCTTAGAATCTTCAAAAGGTATTCATTGTAAATGGAAAAGTTTTTAATATATATATATACATATATTATTGTATCCGATAAAGTTTCTCTAATTACGCCTATCCATCAAAAGTAATTTGCGACCACTAGATTAATCAAGTGAATTTACCCAAATTTTACATGTCTAATTTTAGCAAACCCAAGTGTCAACAATTTATGAACATAAAAATATATCGTTTACCATACAAGGAGAGTATGGCAAACAAACAAATGAATGAAAAGAGAGAAAAACAACTCATAAATAGGGGCAAAAATGGGTATTTTGAGTCAAGCCTGAACTCTTTCTGCCTGAACTCTTTCAAAAGTTCCTTTGTCTTCCAAAGTAGAGAACAAAAACAAATACTTGTAATCTATGAAGCACTCATACTTGACTCGTCCTATGTGCAAGTTCATTCTTTTGACCATTTTAAGTGCATCAAAATTATTTTTCCTCGTACCCTTTTAGTCTAAATGAAACCGAGTCCATTAATAATATTGTTAGCTAATAATCTATGCAAATAAATAAGATTGAATAGTCAACATTAGTGTCTTCACTCTACCTAAAGCATACCTCTTTGACTCTCTACCTCTGCTTTGCCTCTTTCACCTCTCATATTTTCTCTTCAATGATTTTAATCATGGGCTTGAGGTTAACCAAATGTCAACAAGTAATATATTCTCGGTATTAGTGTTAATCGAACGATTCTTTAATTGATGTTAACCTATTGTCAATAGCTTATGGCTTTATGCATTTATTGTTAACCAATGTTAGTGGATAACTTTAATTGAATGCATGTGATTTTTTATTAGCATCTTGTTGCGTTTAAAGTTAAATGATGCTAGCGATGTTTTATTAACGGACAAGTGTTGGGAGTTGTGCCTATCACGATAGGTTGGGGGTCATGGTGGTTGTTTGGTCATGGCAGCTCCGGTGAAGATGATAGGAAGTGTGACGGTCGAGAGGGCTAGAAGGGGTAGGCTTAGGAGGCATGGGATGAGCAACTGAGGTTGGACATGGTAGCTTTAGACATTTTTTAAGAAATAACCTCTGATAAGAGCTCTTGGAGACGCAGAACTAGTATAGCGGACTAGGGGTGGGGATTTGTAGCTAGGGTAGACAGAAGGTAGGGAGTTGGAGAGGTAGAGGGTGGGAAATTGGGTTAGTGAGTTAGATTATGGGCGTGTAGTTTCCATAAATTGGTTATTTTTTCTTGTACTTGCTCCCATTGCTTACTCTTAACCAACTTCAAAATTTTATCATATCTGATTCTCTCTTTGACACTCTAGTCTATAGGGTAGAGGTCGGGCCTTGTACATCTTACCCTCCCTAGACCTCACTTTCGGTGGGATATATTGAGTTCATTTAGTTTGGTTTGGTTTTGGTGTTTTATTAAATTCAATATTTTGAGTACATATGCCTATTTTCCCCCATCTTAACAATGCATCATGTGTGTGCATGTATATATATATATATAGAATTACCTTACCTTACGCCTCACAGCTAAGCTCCGAGGAAACTTTGCTTCAATAGGCTTTGCGCATTAGTAACACTTAGACTTTGTATAATTAGGGTTTGGACTTTTTGTTTTATGCGTCTCTCCCTATTTTCCTTTTGTTTTATAGTCAAGTGTTCTCTATATCTCTAGGTTTATTTATCCGATTGTAGGATATGACATTACAACAGAGTCTGATCAACAAATTTCGACAGAGTATTAAGGTACAGGTTTAGATACTTTAATGCTCTTCCTTTTTTCAACATATCTATTTCACTTGCATTGGGTTCTCGAATTTGGGAAGAAAAGGAAAGAAAGAAAAGGGAAGGAAAAGAATGGAAAGGAAAGAACATTTTTTATTTGTGTTCTTAAAAGGAAAGGGAAGGAATGGAAAGAAAACAATTTTTCATGTTCTTGAACCAGATAGAAAGGATAACAAGGATGCCATTTAAAATATATCCTTTATACTTGGTTTTTGTCCCCTTTTCTTGTTTCCTATATGAGGGTATTTTTGTCATAACAAATTTTCAGATTTTCCGAAAGTTTTGGGAGGACACTTATCCCTCCTATTCCTCTCCTTTCCACCTAAAACGTTTAAAAAACACATGGTTTTTTTTGTTTTCCCCAACTTTCCCTCCCGTTCCCTTCTTTTTCTTCAAAAAGCTGTTTCGAAAACAGAGTGCTAATGCAAATGACTACAATATACAAACTAAATGTGAGAAACGCCATCCTACCATATTTCAAGCATCTCCAACATTTTCTCCATAAATTCTTCAAAAAGAAGAAGCGAAAGTCAAAATCTCAAAAAAAGAAAAAAGTTAATTCAACCCCATCAGTTTCTCGATTTGAAGATTCCCACATTCATTTAAACTATTAATATATTCAATAATATAATAAAGTCATTCTTTTTAGACGAAGGATCGTGTGAGAATAGGAGTTAACATGAGAAGCGTAAGAAGGGATCTGGACCCTTGATCACTTTTAATCTCACCCCCATCCCATGAATTTTGCTTATCACAGGAATTGATCCGGTGCATTCTCGGTGCACCACATTAGTGTTGATCTTCAATTAGGATTGATCCAAGAATCCAGATCCCTTCTTACCCTTTATCACCATAACTTCCATTCTCACTGGAACCCAACCCTTCTTTCTTTTCCTCCAAATTTTTAGAATTTGTCCCTCTCTCTCCTACTTTCTCCATTTTGGAAAACCCGTTGGATCAAAAAAAAGGAGAAAAACTCCAAAATCTCATTTTTCTCCATTTTGGAGATTTCGTTGAAGATGCTCTAACCAATCAGCATAGCACCAAATCCACATACAACGAATGCATAGACGTGTAATTCCCTTTTCCAAACAGCATTAAAATACTGAATAATAGGTTAGTATACTAAAAACATAATGCCAGATTTAGATACCATATTATGTAAAATATTAAGTGTACACACCTTAACCATGCCATCATAGTCCGTAGAAGCCAGATAGTTCTTGATGTAGCTATTCCAACAAATGCAACTAAGCCTCGATTTATTTGCCATCTCAACAGCAGGATAATGGATGTCAACGGAATCATTCAATAGCAAATGGAAATCGTATACTTTGATCTTTTTCGACACTCCAGCCGTTGCAAAATAATCCTCATCCCGATCAAAACCAAGAGAACATATAACATTCGCCGAACTACTAAAATCACCACCCCTTAAATTACCACGGACTTCAAACTTGCTATATCGAGCATACTTGCATAGCCCATTAAAGAAGATCCCTAGGCGATCTAACGGCTTCTTTTCTGCCTTAATCATTTGAGACCCATTATAATTTTCTCGACTTCTGAAAACTTCGTGATCATTGGAGTTCGTTGAATCACTATCGGAAACCTCAATTTCAGATCTTACAGAGTAGTAAGCACTTTCAAGATGACCTAAATTGCTTATTAATCTTGATTCACTGAGAGTAGAGAAGGGAGATGATGTTATATTCAGCCCAAATCTTGATTTATTTTCTAGAATCAAACTAGTTTCAATGGGTTCATGGGATTGTTTTGCCCGTCGCAACTCAACCTCTGCAATATCGGATTCTATGCAATTGATATCTTCAACCAACTTTGTGGCACATATTTGTTTTTGTTCTTCCAAAGACACAAGAAAATGTAGCAATAACTCTGATTCAATGTCATCTTGAGTGACGGATGATAACAACTCATCCGTTGATATTTCTTCTATTTCACTTACAAGCTTTGATTTTAAGATGTCCCTGTTAAATACAATGGATGGATGTTAGGTCGAAAATAAAAGAACGATTTCTGATGTTAGGTCTTATCAAGTGCCATCCATACCCCTTCCATATGTGCCGATATATATAGGGGATTAATCATTTGAGAACTCCATAAACTGTGATAATCGTGAGAACTTTTATCTTAAGATATTGATTCACTTGATATTTTCTCATCTAAGCCTAACATTTAATGTATTGATGAACATATATGTGTTTAACAATGTGTTTGCTTCATATGTATGCGGTCCACAATGTGAAACTTTTTTACATGTAACTTTTGTTTCACAAACAGGCTAAAAAGGTTCACATTGTGAAACAAGCACATTGTGAAACAAATATATGTTAATCAATATTTTAAATCCTAGTTTGTACTCTTAGATGAAAAAAATCATATGAAATCGTACATTTTGCACTAGTTCTCAAGGTTATCACAATTTCATGGGTTCTCAAAAGAAGGTCCCCTTATATATATATATATATACACACTATATTATATAAAGCATTTGACAAAAACTCTTAAAAATCATTTTTTATGCATGAAATACTGTTTATTGATGCATCTTACTTAAAATTTAAGACTACAAGTAAATTGTGCGTACGTACAACTTATTAAAGCTCCATGTTTGAAATTGTATAACTAACTGTGGATAAACATAATCAAATAGAGGATAAACATYTCATTTTAAAATATAAAATATAATCAGGATAATTATGAAGTTCTAACAAAATAATTTATTATTATATTTATAAAAATTATATTATTAAATCAAATATGAATTACTTCGTTATTGAACATAAATTAAATTATAAGTAAGAAATTATGCAACAAATGAGAAATTTTAAATAGTTAATTTGATACTAATATTGATATATTTTTGTCAAATGTTTATGATATCTTCAAATTTATATTTTATTCAAAAATAAAAACATTGTCGCATTTTCAAAATCACATAAGACCATATTATAATATCGACTGAGATAAAAAATAAAACAAAATATTAAAATCAAGATGTATCTCGCTGCATGTGCGATTACCCTTCTAGTATATATATATATGCATATATATATATATATGCATATGATTCTATAACTATCGATGAGGTTGGTTGCTTGGATTTGATCCACGACCACTATAATGTCTAGTAGGGTGTGTTTGGTACGCAAACAGGACAAAATGTGACCGGTGAGTGTAAGATATAGGTGGGTGAAAGAACTCTGGAAGGTTATAAGATTTTTATTTCACATGGGTAGTTTAGTAATTACCTATTTTGTCTCATCTCACAAATATTCCACCTAACTTGGTGGGACTAAAATCTGCATTTTTGTCCCACTCGATCATATCTTGGCCCGGTCTAACTGTCGTGCCAAACGTTGGACAACAAGTTTTTGTTCAGTCATTTCCCATCTTGTTTTGCATTACCAAAACCACCCCTAGTGAACAGAATAATTATTGGCCTAAGATTACTGGATAGACCACGTTTATCAAGTTCATGCCTTTTGACAAAGCCCGATAAAGAAAATCATACTGGCAAGAAAGTTAAAAATCCTGTATATAAAATTTATAAATTCACTGATAGATGGCTGACATAAACCAAATACAGTTTATAAATCACCATACATAAAGAAAAGTTTAAACTTGAAAGCACATGACGATAGAGAGTTATGGCTAATAGTTTACAACTTCTTTTAGATTTTATGAAATCGTATTGAATCTTCTTTGGAAGGAGTATGAAAAAAAGAATCACAACTGAAGTAAATCCACCAATACCTGGTTGTAGGTCGTGCCAGTGCCTCGGGATGAAGCAGCCAAAGACAGTATCCAGCCTCCTTGGGATTTTCCGACAAGAAACTAGGGGGAAGGATCCTCTGACGTAAATTCATCATTGCAAAAGCATGTTCTCTAGCAGATTCAAAAGATCCAAGGAGCTGGAATAACAAAAGATCATATAAGTTGCAAAAAACTATCTTTTCAACCTAAACACAATCAAGAAGGAGAACAGCTTTCTTCGGGTCTGTTTGTTAGCAGCTTAATTAGCTTAATGGGACTCACAACTTATTCAGTCAGATATACATGGCTCTTTGGTAGTGGCTTAATAATGTAGGAAATGACTCTTTCAGTAAGCTTTTAAGGGGGAGCTTTATGCAGAAAGCCAAATTTTTCCAAACCTGCTCCTCCGAATTAAAAAACACGCTTCTTCCATCTATGAAAAAGCTCTCCCAAATAAAAACCTTCCCAATCTATACAGACAAAATAATCTACACAGACAACTTTATCTATATAGAACTTAATGAAAAACCAACCAAACACCTCCTTAGTAACCTATAACCAAACCAAATGAACCCAGCATATCACACCTAACAGTGGGCTCTGGTGGGTAAATGTATGCAGACCTGACCTTTACCACAAAGAGTGGAACGGTTGTTTCCGTGAAGACCCAACGATTGTTTCTTAGAGCATCTCCAATGGGAAGTTCCTATAAGCAAAAAAGTGTAGGTTCTTATAAGAACTACCATTGGAGAGAGTTCTTATGAGTCACCATATCCTTAGAGTTATTCTACGATAACCTTGACTCTTACCTGAACTTTGTGTGAAATGATATTTTATTTATTTTTTATAAGTTTTTTTTTAATTAAATTATAAAGATATAATAATCATTGATGTTGAAAAATGCATAGGACCCACATAAGGGGTTCTTATAAGAACTACCATGAGGTTTTATGTAGTTTCTTAATTTGGTGAGTTGGAAATGATGTGGCAAGAAAATGTACAAAAAGTGGGTTCTTATTACAACCTCCATTGGAGATGCTCTTAGTAACCTATGTTCCTAGGGCTGTAAACGAACTGAACGTTAACGAACCGTTCGTGAACCGTTCGGCGGGAAGTTCGTTTATGTTCGTTTATTTAATAAATGAACGAATATGAACAAAAAAAAATTGTTCGTTTAGTTAAACGAACGAACATGAACAAGAGTCTCGTTCGTTCATTTATGTTCGTGAACTTTCGTTCGTTTATCTTTCGTTTATGTTTGTTTATATATTAAATTTAATATATAATCTTTTATTTATTTACATTGAATTCAAATAATATTTATTTATGTTCGTTTAACCCGTTCGTTTAGCCCGTTTGTTTATGTTCGTTCGTTTACGTTCGTTTAGCATGTTAATAAACGAACACGAACACACCTTATTTCTAAACGAACGAACACGAACACAAATATTTCGTTCATTTAGCATTCGTGTTCGTTCGTTTGTTTGGTTAAGTTAAACGAACGAACATGAACAAGCCTCCGTTCGTGTTCGTTTGGTTTGTTTACAGCCCTATTAATGTTCCAAGATTAGCACTTCACCATTTAAAGGAAAGGAAAAGTGATTCTATGGAGCTCATCACACACCATCTTTTTCATTTTTGAAAGAAAAATGAAAATGATTATGAACAGAGAAAAATGAGCATTCTCTCACCAAGTTACTTCCTATACTTGGTAACTTTCTTGAATTTGATGGTATATTTGATAGCTTCATAGATTTTCCCTTGAAATTTAAACAAAACATTTGATAAGCGGAAAGATTCAGTTAAACACTCATCCGCACCTCGAATAGAAGAACTCCCAGAGAGTATATATTTGAAGACAACGTGGAGCACCTCTCTCTAAGATCCTCTGGACTGGTGTACCACTGCTCTTCTAATAGATTACTGCTAAAGGAAGATAACACTTGGGAAGTATTAGATATATGCGGGCTACTACTCTCTTCATTAAATCCATAACTAAAAGCTCGTGGACGGCCATGGTTGGAACCAGAATGATTGGAACCAGAAAGATTTGGGATCTGCCGCCACCTGCCAAAAGAGCTCCAGTTGTCCCCATGCTTTCTCCTTTTGGAGCACAGACTAGCATCAAAAACGCCCTGCTCTACTTGTCTCTTCTCGTCTCTATTATCCATATGAAGTATTTCTTTATCATCGTCGGTTTCCATGAATTCCTTCTGGGCAGGTGAACCAAGGTACAAAACCTGGTTTGATGGCAACAACTTAAAGCACGATGGTCTTAACGCGTGCAAGGCGATTCCTCGAGAATGAGATGAATCCACCAATTCCAATATCTGCTTAAATATATGGAGGCTCTTAGACTTGTCTCCTTTATTCCCACCATTTTTCAGCCATTCTCTCAAACTGACATCAGGCCTAGGCTCAACAAAACCAGCAGAAGGGCAAACAGTGACTCCCCCCATGCACGAGTTAGGTGCCACAGCAGGCCTGGGATCACTCTGACCACCACGAATATGAACACCAACTCCATCTCGAGGTGGACCTCTGCAAATGACTCCTTTGCCCTTTAGTGTATTTTTCACAAAAAACTCGGAGAACCCAGATTTAGAAAGAATCTTTGTCCGAATACCTCCAAGAGACAACGACGTATTGGAAGGAGATGGTGGGGAATCGTCTATTGTCTCGTTTTGATTTTGATCTTCTTGTTTCTTATCGAGAAACTCAGAGAAGAAAATGGAGTCCGAATCTTCCCAGACACCGGGCTTTGTTCCACTAGGCATATTCCCATTCTGTATTCCTTCTCTTATGCTTGAAGCACCAACTATTTCAAACTTCCCGTTGTTGAAATTTCTGACGGTTAATTCTTCAACCATTACCCCGGAACTATCCGTACAACGAGAGCTGGTGCATGCATGCTCAGATGTACCAACCCGAGCATTATTCTTACCATCCAACACATTTATAAATGTGTCACAATTGTTCTCTCGAACATTAACCGTTTCATGAAATTCAATTTTATTGGAACTTCCGGGTTTCGGTGAGAAGCTGCTCTCTTTGCTCTGTAACCGTACTCTATCAACGTCTTTCATCGTGTTCACTTTACTATTTATAAGTTCATCTGGACCCTTCAAAGAAAATTCGTTCAGTTAGATCATAAGAAAAGTAGCTAGCTCATGATTGCTTAACTATCATAAGAAGAATAGGCAATAAGAACAACGAGGTAAAGGATCAACTAGTTAATAAAGAATGAAAGCAACTCCTACATGAAGTTCAACTGAAAAATTAAGCGCATTGCAAAAAGAAAGTTGAAATAGGTACAATCCTTCAAGCATGAAACACGAGCAAGGTTAGTGATCATTATTTAACTAGGTTAGAAAGCTTCAATCCATGGGGTATGCTTCACTTTCAGCCAATTCAAAAGTAATGCAGTATCATACATGTTCGAACCCCTTAGGGTGCGTTTGGTATCCAGATAGGAGAGGAGAGGACAGGACAGTTGTTCCATGTTTGGTAAAACAGAACTGGACAGAACAGATAAAATGACCAATTTACCCCCATGAGTTGTTGATATCTTTTGATTGATTTATGTACTTTATTATATTATACTAAAATAAATATTTTTATAACAAAATACAACATTATAAAGGTTTCGTCAAGACGAATAAAATGACAAAAATAAAAAGTTTATGTAGATTCTAATTCTTATTTTATACCTTTTCTATATTATTTTTTATTACTAATCTTTAATAAATTACATAAATTAATCAAAATATAGAAACCGTATAAGAATAATATTTTAAGGACAGTAAAGTGAAAGTTTAAGGAGAATAAAATACAATAAATAAAATTTAAAGAATGGATAAAATGTAAAGTGGGAGGCGTATTTGATGTGTATTTGATGTTTTAGAAGAGAATTAGGTTGAAGTTATATTGGTAAAATATAGGTTTGTCCCACCTTATTCCATGGGGTGGGGGTGCAACACCCCTGTTCCACTTTGTTCCTCTCTGTTCACATAAAAGTCATGCCAAACGTGAAACAGTGATCCCTGTTTTGTCATGTCCAGTGTACCAAACGCACCCTCTTTTACGGGTGTGTTTGGTACACAAGACAGGATAGAACAAAAACTTGTTATCCCACATTTGATTTGGCACGAGAATTGACATGACATGACTGGGTGGGACAAAAATGTAGTTTCTTTTGTCCCACCAAAATAGATGGAACTAATATCAGAGAAATGGGAGAAGATATGTAAATTACTAAATTACCCATTTCAAATTAAAACATTCCACATTTCTTTCACCTGCCTACCTCACTCTAGCCAGTCCAGTCATGTTCAATACTATCGCTTCATATCCACATAACAAGCGCAAGCTAACAGTTTCATGCAATTAACACATTTGAAAGTCTCTTCATTTGCTATGTTTATAAAGTTAAAAAAAAGGAGACAACCACGAACTCTCATTTATAAAGCTTTTTGCAGTTGAGCAACATGATTACATACATAACAACAGTACCACACAACAAGCAAACATAACACGTTTGCTCCAAATTAAAGCAAACTTCCAACTTCACCACACAGAGTGATGCAAGTTTAGAATTTACCTTTGGATATCCTACCTCCAGTCTGTTCTATCAACGTTAATCTTTGCACGGTCAGCGTCAACACAATCAAACACACCCACTTCAACACATGACGGAAATTTTTGCCAATGTATGACAACACACAGTAGACCATTCCAATAATCCATCATGTACCCAAGTGCAGACCTTGAGCTCCAGCTCAACTGGAAAATAAAGGCTAGGCCTTGGGGATCCTACTCATAGGTCGTCAGGGCCACTGTGGATTGACCTGGCTGTTACCTTCAAGTCACATGGGATTAGTGGCCCGAACGCCCAAGGTTACAATAACATGTAGCCAAGTGCACCTGTCCGGCCTTCGTAAAAGTACAAGAGCCATAAGTGGAGAGAAACAATCAAACACTTGCCTTAAAGCATTCAGACTTGCCAACAAGAGGCGGCATTCGAGAGGAACAATCAAAAGGTTGCCAACAAGGAATGGCAGAAATATCACCTAACATTTCTAGGGGAATTACAGATACGAGATCATTTGTACTAATTCATACGAGAATTAGGGGCTGTTTGGTCGTTTTCCATTAAGTTCTATATGTATAAAGTTGTCTGTGTTAATTCATCTGTCTGTATAGGTTGAGAAGATATTTGTTTGGGACGATTTTTTTTCATAGATGGAAGAAATGGGTTTTTTAATTGGGAGTGGCAGGTTTGGAAAGAAAAAAAAAACTTGGCTTTCTGCATAAAACTCCCCTTAGAAGCTTACTGAATAAGCCACTTTCTATATCATTAAGCCACTACCAAACAGTCATGCATAGCTGACCGAATAAGTTGTGAGTCCCATTAAGCTCGTTAAGCTGCTAACAAAAACAGGCCCTTAAACTGTCAATTACCACATTTCACAACTTAGGTTTCAGTTGGTGAATTCAGAGCAAATAATGCGTAAGGAATTAGAATTTGTGTGTTTGATGAAGCATTATGTTGACTAGATATAAACCTAGGGCATATGCAATAGACAATTCCAAGACTTATTTGCCCCAATTGCAATAAGATACCTAAAAATCTTGATCATAAGCAAATCAAATTGAACAACCACACAAAGAATACATAGGATCGCCAATTGAAAGTAAACAAATGAGACCCAAATTCCCATAATATTTTCAAATAATAAAACAAATTCCATTGTCACCTAGCGACTCACAGTTCAATTACTTCCAAATCAGAGAAAAAACTAATTTGATTCCCAAAACACACATTCGAATAACACAAAACCCAACTCAATGGAATTCGAAATTCCGATTATAAACACCAATTTTAGTCAAAAACAATTCAACTCAGTTCCATTGCGCCCAAACTTCAACTAATCAAACTATCCTACCATCATGAACTTCAATTTGAGCTTAATCACAATCAAACCAGAACCCAAAAAACTTAAAATTCCAAAAAATGGGTTGATACACTAGTTACAATCAAAAAAATTAACCAATGCAATCAACTCGAAATCAATCAAACTTGACGTAGATTCGATTGAAGTCAATACCTTATTGTTTCAACTGGAGCAAGAATATGCTGAATTGAATAGGGGAAACTGGACAAATTTCTAAGCCATGAAGAAAACAAAAACCCTAGAGAGGAAAAAAGGTGGTTTTTGCTCGTACTTTTTTAACTATGAAAGCGGCAAGATACACCCTCTGCCACTCGATTGCTTCTTCGAATATTTTTTTTCTCAGTTTCTGAATGAGAAATTCTTTTTATCATCGCCATTTTTTCGCGTCTTTATAAAGATTTTGGAGATGGTTTTCATTTTTCACCGACTTAGTTGTCAAAATAGTCCTTGTACTATTATTCTACTTGCACTTTTTGCACTTAGTTTATAAATTTACAATTTCAGTCCTTTCTATCAGGGGTGTAAACGAGTCGAGTAGTAGGATATTCGAGTTTGACGCTCGTTTTTATGAGCTCGAACTCGAGATCAATTAACTTGTTTATTGCTCAAGCTCAATAACATACATATATATATATATACATATATATATATATATATACACACACACACAATTTCAATCCTTTCTACTATGGGTGTAAACAAGTTGAGTCGAGTCAAGTAGTAGGCTATTTGAGCTAGATGCTCGTTTTTATGAACTCGAACTCAAGATCAATTAACTTGTTTATTGCTCAAGCTCAATAATACACACACACACACACACACACACACATATATATATATGGGATAAGAAGAAAAGTTATGGTCAGAAGCATAAGAAAAGATCTTCACCCATTGATCAATCCTGATTGAATGTTAAAACTAATGAGGTGCATCGAAATGCACCAGATCAATTTCATTTTAAAGCACAATTCATTAATGGACATGGGATAAAAAATGATCAGGGGTTCAGATTTCTTCTTATGTTTATTACTATAACTTTTCTTCTCACGTGATCCTCCGTCTCTCTCTCTCTCTATGTGCGTGTGTGTATATACATATATTGATTATATAATTTATAGACATATAAACATGTTTGAGAGATTTGAATTTCATAGAGGGATTTGGATTGTAATGGATTTGAAGTGTGTTTAGTTTGTAGGATTTGGAATGAAATTGAATTCCATTGTTTATAAATAATTTATAAAAAAAATACTAATAATTATAAAAATAATTAAATTTGCATTTCTATTAAACGGTTGTTACAAAACAAATGTTTTCAACAATTTTTAAAACCTTATTCAATCCTACGAAATCCGGTGAAATCTCGAGCAGTCTCTAAGGATCCGTTTGGTTTGAAGGGGATGAAATGGATTTGGAGGGGTTGCGTTTCAAATCTATTCCAATCCATGTTTGATTTGCAAGATTGTTCGGATTAAAAATTATTTGAAATCCCTCAAACATAGGATTTTGAAATCTCACGGGTGGTTGAGATTTCACGGGACTTCGTAGGATTTCTATATAATAATGTTTTAAAATGTATATAAAACACTTGTTTTGTAAAAATTTGTTTATAAAAATGTAATTTAATTATTGATAATTTGTTTTTATATCAAACCAAACACGTCAAATATTTCAAATCATTCCGGTTCCAAACATTTATATGAAATCCAAATCCCTTAAAACCATTCCATCAGACCAAACACCCCCTAAGGATTTCAAAATCATATGTTTGTAGGATTTCAAATTCAGACAATTCAACAAACCAAATATGCGATTAAAATGAATTTGAAATTCAAATCCCCTAAATTCATTCCTACAAATCAAACGGGATCTTAATGTTTAATTTTTTTTTTGGTAATAAAGGGACTGTAAAATTGAAAAACAAACACATAAAAGAAATCAGTAATTTACTATGATTTTTATTTAAAAAACATAAGACAGAACAAACCAAAATCAACCGGTTCATACTAGGGGTGCTCATGGGCTTGGTTGACCGGATTGAAGACATTTAAACAACTCAACCCAATGCTTTCAGTTTGAAAAATCTTAACCCAACCCAACCCAACACGTACGGGTTGGTCGAGTTGATACTTTGGTACATTAAAATATTTTTCTAACCTATAATATATTATTTCTCTACTCATAAATTCATTTTCATCATCAACTATTTGATACAACTTATCCATATTTCTTACGTATATCACATTCAATTAATTTTCTCAATTTACATATATATATATATATATATATATATTAGTTGTGTACCCGGCTACCCGCGCAATGCAGTGGGAGCCATGAATTTTAACGATTTTGAAGTTCCACTGGTTTTATAAGATAAGATTTAACGATGATATAGGTTACACTTGGTCTTTACATATTAATACAATTTGGCACATTGGTAATTTTAAATTTACATTTTATACCCCTATAATTAACAAAAGTCTTAAAGTCTTAAAATACTAAATGATCAAGATACCATTTATACATTTTTTCACCCCCTACTCTCCTCACATGCACTCACCCCTTCACATACAAACATCCTCTCACAGCCGATCTTTTTAAAATTATAATTTTAAATTTATACTTTATACCCCTATAATTAGTTAATTAATTTACTTTACGTCGTTTACATTTAAGTGTTTCATTTTAAACCTTTATCGAATTAATATACATAATCGTATATTAATTAAAACATGTTTAAAAAATACATATTTATTTTAACAAGTTACACAATTATAATCGTCTTGCTAATACATTCGAAATGAGTCCAATATTGAATAGTTTTTGACTTAATCATATTATTATATACTAGAAGAGTACTCGCGCAATGCAGCGAGATACATCGTGTTTTTAATATTTCATTTTATTTTTTATCTCAGTCGATATTATAATATGACTTTATGTGATTTTGAGAAGGCGATGATGTTTTTATTTTTGAATAAAATATATGTTTGACGATATCATAAAAATTTGACAAAAATATATCGATATTAGTATCAAAT